AGAGAACGTTAGTTTACAAGAAACAACGATAAAAGGAAATTTAGAGTGCGAGAGGAATAAAGCTCCGTACCTAAAAGAAGATATAAGTGATGAAGAAATTCATTCCGAGAGGAGCAGGAGTAATACTAGTAGTCCTGTCAGCTGTCACGAACATACTTCACCTGAAAAGAAGAAAAAAATTAGTTCCGCAGTTTATCGTGGTTCAATTGATGATTCCGTGGATAAAAATACATTATTCATGGATAATTCATCACCTAATTACAAGAAAAATGATGTTTCGCAAATAAAAGTCACCGCGAGCACAAGTCACAAGCGCGAGTGCAATGCGAACTCACCCAGAAGGACAGAACAACGAATTGACAGGCTACTATCAGAGATGGCGCTGTTAGCAAATCGTCTCGACGCAAGAGACTTAGCGCTCGACCCAGAAATGACAAAGCCCACAGTCGTTTCTCAGCCAGAAGACACGAAACATCCGGTTACGAAGAATAAGTTAATAATAAATAATAAACCTGACGAAACGCACAGGCAAAGTGAGGTCAACAAAGACAGCAATAAGCGTAAGTCACAATACATAAATACCGGAGAGCAGGGAATATCTATCAACAAGGATCTCAACATTCTTAACCAAAAACTTAAATTAATTGAACATACATTACTTTCATTAGATAAAAAAATGGACAACGATCAACCAGAACGCATAACGCTTCAACAGTTAAAAGAAAGGGAAAGAAAACTCGCCGAAAAGATCTACGACAAGGCAAGGTTAATAACTGCGATCGAGCATACACAGTTACGCATTGCGGCAATGGAAAAGAAGCTAGAAGATTATCCCGAAACAGAAGCAGCAGACTTCAAAGAAACAGATAAGGACGACTGCAAACGGGCGGAAAAGGTGGCCAACGCATTGCATACATTAAACAAGGCCAGTGCAAGTAACACATGCGGCATGGATGAAGTTAACTTAGTCGACAAGAAAGGCAAGAACATCTGTCAAATCCAATCCATAATTTGCGTAAAGGATTTGTTACCAAGGTACGACACGGCAGAACGTAAATATACACTGTCATTTGAAATAGTAAATG